TTTTATTTTGTTGTCTTGACTTCAAGTCAGCGCTCACAGCACACTAGTGCTGTTTACTCCAACCCGTGGTCACACAGAAGAGCTCCCCTCTACCCTCCCCTCCTGCGGTAACTTACAGTTGGCATCGCAGATTGCGACGAGGTCTCGGGTGATGATGAGCAGTCGGTGTGAGGAGAGTTCCAGAACGAGGAAGTCGAAGGCAACAATATACTTTTAAGGCACATGCGGGCTTTCACGTTGTTTGGGCAGCTCATGACTTTTATCTACTTGCTGTACCCCGGTGTTGGAGGTACTCTAGGTGACACAAGATACCACGCCCCCTGGACCGATTGTCGATGCTCCATTACTCCGCGACCAAGATGATGCATGAATGAAGCATCGAGACGTTTTCAGAAACCTCTCGACGAGACGGCTTCAAGGCTACCGTTTCGGTGCCCTGCCACTCTCTTCTGCTGTGGAGAAATCGAGCTTTGAGAATCGGCCCAGGGGGTGTGATATCTTCTGTCATGTCACCTACGGTACCTCTCTGCCCTTGGCCCGATTGTGACCACTCGATTGTAGACAATTCGGCGGTGCCCCCCCCCCCCCCCCCCCCCCCCCCCCCCCCCNCCCCGTCGTCGTCGTCGTCGTCGTCGTCGTCGTCGTCGGGTGACTGATCTGTGAAGAGCTTTTCCATCGGGGCGTGTGGGCTTTTTGTGCCGTCGGCTGGGTTTGCCCTTGTTGTCGTTGTATCCTCTGGTCGGCTGGGCCAGAGTGTCCAGTCTGACTCAGCTTGTCCGTAACGTAACACGCGCGCGTAACGAACTCTCCTCGCTGAACAAAGAGGGTGGATAGAATGCACACCATGCTCGTGCGCGAATGTCATAGTAGAATACGCACCATGTCTCTGCGTGGTGCCGTCGTTGTCGGTGATGGGGTCACACTACTGCTGTGAAGCCTTTCTGGCTGTGTTGCGTAGATAGCGGGACCTCCTCCGTCGTTTCACGTTCAGCCAGCTAGCTGGTGACTCCCTGATACAGTAGTCTCCTCGGTTGATCGCTATCGGCTGGCGACAAACAGACAGACCAAAGCCCGCCCACGCTTTATTTTTGTGTGAGTTGAGCGGTGTTGAAGTTGCGATAATAGTTCTTGTGTTGTATGTTGTTGTGTAGAGGCCGCTTCGGCGAAATACGCGAGCTCGGAGAAAAGGACACTCGAGGCCGCTGCCGAGGTCGGTCAGGAACACCCCCATCGAGCGACGCTGACCTCCTCCTCCGGAGGATACCTGACAGTTCTCGGCTGTACCCTCAGCGCGTCGAGGTGAAGGCGAGGGATGTCGGGGTCGCGACCGGGGCTGCGAGGACGCGGACCCGGAGGACCCTGAGCGTCGTCGGTTTGATCCTGTCATGCGCGGCGGGGATGCGCTCGACATGTGTGGTCCGCTGGCCAACTGTCGCGTAGAAGCCCCTGTGTCTTCCCCTGCTGTGCCCCTGCCGACGTTTCCGGCCCTGTCGGCCGTCTCTAATGCCGACTCCTGTTGCAACCCCCCCACCCGGCAAAGTGCTCGAAACCCGTCGTCCTCTCGCGTGGCAAGCTGCCACGCTGGAACAGTCCGATGCAGGCCCCGCCCTGCCGACTGAGAGCCCTGAGGCAAAGACCTCTCGGTAGCGCAGCTTCCGTTGTTTGCACGTCCGGCAAGCTGCCACGCCGGGACAGTCCGATGTAGGCCCCTCCCCGCCACTTGAGAGCTCGGAGGTAAAGACCTCTCGGCGGGTGCCATAACCAAGCGCCGCAAACCGGAGGGGCTGTTCGCCCCCGCCTCGCCGCCTCGCCGCCTCGCCGCCCGCTGCCGCTCCCCACGCTTCCGCTTGTCGCGGATACGGCGTGCCGCTGCAGCCCGCCGAACTGGCTATTGGTGTTGGTATCGCCGAGTCCCCGTGCGACCAGCCAAGCCGGCATAGTCATTGCGATGCCGCGTCCCTGCGACCGTGAGCCCGGCAAACGTCGTGGGGCCCCAACCGATGGAGCGCGGGCGCGCGCGTCCTGCCCCGACGACGTGCGGTTGTTCCTTTCCTCTGTACGGGGTGTCTCTCTGGCGGTGTCCCACGTTCCTCTCTGTCCCGGCTCGCTCGCCGTGTTCACGGCGATGCGAATAGAGCGGCGGCGTTGCTGACGCGGGGAAGCGCCGGTATCGTCATCCGGTGATCGACCGGGTGGCCGTCGTTGTTGACGACGTCCTCGACCGTCCATGTCTGNGTGGGCGCGCGCGTCCTGCCCCGACGACGTGCGGTTGTTCCTTTCCTCTGTACGGGGTGTCCCTCTGGTGGTGTCCCACGTTCCTCTCTGTCCCGACTCGCTCGCTGTGTTCACGGCGATGCGAACGGAGCGGCGCCGTTGCTGACGCTGGGAAGCGCCGGTATCGTCATCCGGTGATCGACCGGGTGGCCGTCGTTGTTGACGACGTCCTCGACCGTCCATGTCTGGCGACGAAACGAAAACCGGACCATAAATAACACAAACCTGGCCCCCGTTTGGTGCAAGCGTCGTCCGACGAGCAGGCGCGCCTCTCGAGCTCCGACGTCAGCCGACCACCTCGACGAACCTCTTTGCTCGTTCCGCCGCTGCCACGACACTC